TGAGCTGAGGCAAGACTTTTTTACACCCTGTTTTAGCGAACCCACCGATAATAATGATTTCGAATACAAATAATTTTTTTGCCTAATAGTCTCACCTAAGCAGCCCTCTTACTGACTATTAAATAAACCTCTTTATTAATAAAAACAACATGATTCCTAAGTCGGTTATGTAACATTCCTAACCACAACGTTCACAGAGTTAATAATAATAACGTTTTGTGTTTCCTAGGATCCCTTCATTTAATTTATCTTGGCAACATTTGTTGCAATATATGTTCAACAAATACAGGTCTCACTCAAATTAAAGACCATTTTTGGGACCATGGTTTTCCTGATTAAAATAAATATAAAAATAAAGGATAAGTACTCATCTAGGGCCACAGAAAAGTGGTTTTTATTTTAAGGGGGCTTAAATACAGGGATTCAGCGATGGTCGTCACGTGACATAAGTTGGGTGTTGGATATAAACAATCGATTGGCACAGCGGTGTTTTACATGAAGATTGCTATTGCGGCCGTTTCTTGTTATTGCCGTAAAAATCATCATAATTCCCAGTAAACTTATACCAAATTGATTGGAAATTACACTTGAGAATTTTGCCTTAATGGTTTGCTAATGCTTAGTAAAGGATACTGGCAAAACATTGAGATTTTTCGATAAATGTTTGGCCTGGGCCCCTGCACATCTACAGCATGGTTAGGTATGCATGATGGTCTTTGACCCGCGAAATATGCTGCGATGTTAGGGTTAGCTAAGGTTTGTGAAGGATCACTTAAATTTCAAAGCATACAATCCTAGGAGAATGCTAGGATAAGCAAATAAACACTAATTTGAACAATCGTATTGCCTTTCCTAGCCATTTATTTCCTATGTTAACAGTGGGTGGTCATTTTGCAACCATAACATCTTTTCCTACGCTATTGCACTGTAATGTTTTTCATGTATACCCAAGTTATGCTACGACCACCTGTAAAAAAGCGTCGCCGGATCTCTCTGTTGGAGAGAGACGTGTACAAGCTAACACAACACGTGTTCCTAACTACTAGATCTTGCACAAGTTAACGACACAAGCGCACTCCACTTTTATGTTTAGATTGTGAGGGTTGATGACACCACATTACATAAATATAATGGAGGCATAGCATTGTCTCAGTTATTTAGTACCATTATGAAGTACTGTATTGTTGGAATTGGTGCTCTTCTAGTTACTGTTGCGGTTATTCTATTTATACGATCAAAAAAGAAGGTAATTATAATTTGCACTTTTAGATTTAAATTGAAGATAGGTGGTGGAATTTGACCAAAGTAGGTTTGCAGGGTTGTTCAGTGAGTTACGCAATCAAGATATTATCTCTATGCTTTAATGTCAGTAAATTTAATCTCATTGAATTTATAATGGTATCAATAATTAAATTATTTTTGTTAGGTTTAGTATACACTGCAAATATTTATAATGTTGATACATTTCTAATTTATTAAACATTTAACATGTTTCTCTATATGTGGCAAAGACAAGCCAAACCAGTCACTCCTTGCAAAAAAAAATCAATTTTAGTTAATAATGCAGGGTTAAACAATAAAATTAAAGCTATAAAATCATTTAAATCCAACATTTTGTTATGAAGTTACAGGAGTTAAAACATACAGTACAGCTGTTTAAAGAACAGTATTTGAGAAATCAAAGTTTACGATTGCTGAGATTTCTCAGGCAGAGATCATCACCAAATCGTTTAATAGTTTTGTTTAACCGTTGAAAATGGGGAAAATATTAACATAGTTATGCAAAGTTTAAATTAGCACAATGAAATAGATTTAAAAAATGTTGACATTCCAACATGTTTTGGCCATTATCTCCAAAACATGATTTGCGAGGTGTGACAGGCATTGGTGGATGGGAGGGGGTGGGGGTGGTGTCAGGAAAGCTCATTGCCCACCATCTAGGAGTCAAAATTTTCTGGGGGAGAACCCCCCGTGGGAGAAACTGCCCCCCTCCCCCATTCTCTTTGGGGTTCATCAATTAATGGAAAAACAATACCTATGCAACCATTCAATTTTTTTTTTCTGTATGTATACCGGTACACACATAATGGGCTTATTTACTGTAATAAGAAAGAGAAGAATTTACCTGACTGTTTTCAAAAGGGGAAAACCTTGAATTTTGAAGAACTTAAAAGTCATTAAAAGACACTTCAGAAGTTGGGAAAGCTCATATCCCACCATCTAGGAATCAAAATTTCCCGAACCCCCTTTCTTTTTTGGTTTTTTTTTTAACATTTTAACCCCTGTCCCTATATTTTAACCCAGATCCGCCCCTGACTAGTATGGGTTGTCTTCACCATATGTGAGTTTGGAAACTAGTAATATGGGTAATAATTCAAATATAAAGTAATTTTAATTCAGATGAAATAGTCTATAATTTTTTTATAATTTCTGATCTATCAAATATTTTTCATATCTCCTTTCTAGGATGGCGGGAAGAAGATATTGATTTCAGAGACAGAGCCTTTGTTGAACTAAATGGTATGTGGTATCCAACATCACAATAGTTTTTCTTTATACATTGTTTTGCAAACCTGCTGCTCACCAATATTGAGGATTTCAAGTAAAAATGATATTTTATTTTTGGCCAATTAGCGCACACGCCGCCATGATAAATTAGAAATTTCAGAAAAAAATAAAAGTTTTTCATTATTTTTATTACACCTGCTGCTGCCTTGAATCTCTAAAAATAAGATACTTATATTTCTTCATAATTATATAAATTTAAAGCATTTTAACCATCCCACTGTTTACATTCAACAATAAATTTGTGGCAAAGACAAGCCAAACCAGTCACCAATGCCGTAGCCAGCTGTTGCGACAGTTTGGACAGTCCCACACATTTTGTCTAATGGGTCTACAAAGAATGGATCTACATTTTTAAAAATGGGTCCAAATTATGCAATTTTAGGCATAAAATGAGTCCACTCTTTGAAAAATGTGTCAATATTTCTCATATTTAGCCTAAAATGGGTAAAATTTTATGAAAATGGATCCAGATTTTTCATATTTTTGCGTAAAATGGGTTAACTTTTAGGAAAGTGGGTCCACACTATTTTTTATAATTTACTCGTAAAGTGGGTCCACCCTGTTTGAAAATCCTGGCTATGGCATTGCCCGTCACTTGTCGCAAATCCTGTTTCCGAGGTAATGGCCATTTTACCATTTTATAGCTCTCATTTTACTGTTTAACCGTGTATTAATAACTAAAAACTGATTTTTACGACAAGTGACTGGTTTGTTTGGCTTGTCACAATTTTATATATTTTCTTCTCCGTCTGAATGCTTTTGGCAAAAACATTTGCTAAATTAGAAAACAAAATTTTTTTAAATTTTCTTTCTGCCCTCCTCTGACGATCTTTAAAAAAATAAGTTTTGTGAAACAAGGCGTAACAAAAGTCTTAGCTTACCGGTCACAACAGCTGTACTCATCCTCTATACAGGAGCTTCTGAGAAGTACTCACCTTACATTTGAACAATTCTAAAGACAGAATCAGAAATACTAAGAACATTCTTAAGTCCTTTCCAGACTATCAAATTTTATTTGACAAAAACATGTGACATGCCTAAATATGGTCATGATGACATCACATCATGACCATATATAGGCACATCAAGACTAAATATGGGCATACAATAGTTTTTGTCAAAGAAAATTTGATAGTGTGTGGAGAGCTTTAGAGTTCTGTAAAGCACAGTACATCTGGCTTTCTTTTTCCTGACACTTAAATTTTAACAGCCATGTCTTAAAATCCCAATATATTTTTATTGACTTGTTTCCACTGGTGAAATCAGAATACCACAAACACTATCATAAACTAAAGCAGAACTCCACAAACCAGCATCTTTATACTTCAACTGTCTGGTGTAAACATGGTGTAACTAACACCAGGCGTATGTTAATCCAACTGGCCAGATGTGATTAACATGACGTATTTGCGTAGAGTATAGAAGTTTTTAATCATGTTTTCAACATCTGTGCTTATTTGTGATTGGTGAAATCCTGGCTTGCGTTTAAACTCATTGTTTCATGACTGTCATAAACAGTGACGTACGCCAGTGATTGCGCATTGATACTGACGTTCAGTAGCTATGCTCAAGTTCACACCACACTATTAATGTTATACTGTACTCGTGTAACGCGTGTCTGAACAAAGCCAAAAGCTGCTTATTTTCTATGTTTTTTTGTGACTGCTGCTTACATTAGTGCCAGCACTTTCAAAAGCTACCCGTACCTATCTTACAAAAGTAGCAGAATTGTCAACCTAAGTTGAAGTCCGTTTTCCACTAGACTAATATATTTGTGCAAATTGAAACCGTCGGTTCATGCACATTCACATTTCTATCAGAGTTTTCGCTTCAGCGGAACTGTTTCTACTCTTTGAGAAGCGAAACAATGCACAACCAATCAGAACTCCGGAAGAGAACCAACACTTTAGAATTGTGCGAATAAATTTGCCTAGTGGAAAACAGGATTAAATCTGCTCATTTTTTCCACAATATTCAATAAATTGTTTTATAAGCTGTAATAATTTGCTTCTGCCCCATGTTGCCTATTTTAAAAAATCATATATCTGCTTGTTTATATAAATTTGATTATTATATATTTTATTGTTTTTTTTCTTTATTTTAGAGCTGAACAACAACAGATCCAGTACCACAGCAACAGCTGTCCCTAGCCACAGAGTTTTTTTTATTTGTTTTCTGCAGTTGAGTACATTAAGATTTTTTGTATTTTTAAGTTGTACTGAGACGAAATATTTTTCCTTTTGTGCCCAACACTGTGCTTCACCTTGTAACATCCAATCCTCATTTCTATTTATTCATTTTGTTATTTTTTTTAACTGCATTCCAATCAGTTCAAAACCAAAGTAAGAGTAAATATGGCAGATGATTAGAAATGAAAAGGAGTGGAGTTGAATACCTTGGTGGTTAAGGAATGTAGGAGCTCTGTTGTTTATCATTTTAAATGTCTAGGTTGTAATAGTGATTATATTAGTAAGACAGATAGATGCTTAATAACTAGACTTAAAGAACATTCTTCACGATCTGATAGTATTAATAATGATCATATACAAAATTTTGAGGCATTCCAATATGTTTTAAGTTTACAAGGTATACTTGAAGATTATAATGTAGCCTGTAATGTAAGTAATAAATTAGGTTTAATATTTTCTAATACTAACATTATTAATAAATATCAATTAAAACTTTATATCTCTGGATAAAGCAGAAAACAAAAGAACTTAACTAAACATTATTGACAGTTCACAAAATTGTTCTATACTATTGTCTAAAGAAGCGTTTGCTATACGTAGGCTACCCCCATTGTTTAACAATGGGCTGAAAGCTTCAAAAGAGCTTTCTTTGTTTTTGTAGGTAGCTTTGATCAGTAGTTTAAGAATGCTTTGATCTTTAGTTTATTCATAGCTATGTCACCTACTAGGGGTAATGTTTTGATTGGTCAAACGCTTTTGGTATTTGTGCATATAAGGTTGCAAATATGGATAATTTTTCATTCCTTTTGATGACATATTTAATGTCAAAATATTGAATCCCGACACGATGGCATGCATTTCGATATTTGGAGTATGTATTATACTATCTTATCTGAGATTAATCAGTGAACTTTTCGGTTTTTGGTGGTTAAGATGGTTCCCTTCCAATCCCAGGGTCCTGGTTCCTGGGTCCAATTCCTGTTAGTGTTGCAATTTTCTTTTTCATGACCAAAAGCAACTCCCTAAATCTCATATTGAGATTTAGTTTGTGTAAAGCATTGTGTGTGTATGTTTGTCTTGTGCAAGGGATTGTCACCTACAAGTAGGATAGTGATATATTTGTTATTGACAATTCTTGGTGCATGTGTTGTGTGCCTAAATAAATAAATTTAAAAACAATTTTAAAAGTTTTAACCTAATAATATTTCTGGAAAGTTAAACAGTGTTTTATAGCTGCTAGATTTTTACTAAATTTTGTATGAAAATGCTATCCAGGTTTTCGAAAAGAAAAGTATTATGAGAATGTTGTTTCAATAGATTCAAAATCCGTATGTAAGTATATCACAGTAAATTTTATATGAAAATGCTGTAAAAGTTTTCAAGCAAAGTATTCTGAGAATTTTAAATGTCGCAATCGTTCTAAAATGGGTATGTAAGTATATATCAAACACATATGCATTATTTGTTCATATTGGTAATTTGAGTGCATTGTTGTGAAATATCTCCTTGAAAACACTATACCTGGGAGAGGTGGGGAGAAGTTTTTGAACCAAAGAAAATACACGCAGTACCTCATTCCAAATATGGTGATATGTTTGTGTGTGTGTCAATCAATGTTGCAATGGGCGTGTCCACTAAGCCCCGCCCCTTGGATATTGTTGCTAACGTCCCACAAATATGCAAAAATGTATGAGTACATATATGTGTGTTTGTGGGACATATTGCAGGACGCGCACGCATGTATTTCTGGCCACTATTTTGATTCGTCAGTTGAAAGGTCCACATTCCACACCGCGCTAAGTGTAGCGGTAGATCAAAATAGTCGCTACAAAGTGTAGACATATCAGGGGCGGACACAGGGTGATGCCTAGTTGGCTGGACAACACCATTGATTTCATGTTGTCAAAAAATACATATATATTATATTAAAGAAAACACGTAAGTTATAAAACGTATTCAATTTCATTATAACAATGGTATTCGTGATTTGAACTTGTATGGTTTTTGGCCAAGTTGACGCTAGCTTTATTAGTCATATATATGCCCTCTAGGGGTCAAACGAACGGAGGGGAATTCCTCCTCTCATTCTCATACCCACCCGCCGTTTTTAGTGAGGTCGTAGTTGAAATGGATATTTCATGTTGTAGTTCTGTATTTAGAAGCCTCACTCTGCCAAAATAAGCTGACTTTTTTAACTGTACTGTATTGTTAGAATTTAAATATCAAAATATTTTATCATTTATATAAATGTATTTTTACTAATAATTAAAATTATTAATTATAATTGTATAATGAATTTCAAAGCTGTCATGCTTCAATCATTGAATAATAAATATTATATAATAATAATAATAATATATACTAATATTTTGGGGGATTATTTGTGCTTTCAATGCAGCTGACTTTATACTATATATAATAATCTATACGATATAGGCCTATATATAATTAGGGTTATTTATTATTTATCTATTTGTTTGTATTGTGTTTATAGTACAGGAAACTTGATTTTATATATTAACTGTTATATCGAGATAGCCATTATATATATATATATATAATATGAATCAAGATAGCCGTTAACACTTAAATAATATATAAATCATCTTTCTTTGATAATATATATATATATAATTCATTCTCGCTGATAAAGGCCACAGGAGTGGCCGAAATATCCGAGTTACTAATGAAACAGCTGCAATAGTAGTAGTAGA